GAGTTATGAAAATAATATCAAGACAGAATTGATCTGTCTGTGATCAGATAGGTTATGAGTTATGAAAAGAATATCAAGACAGAATTGATCTGTCTGTGATCAGATAGGTTATGAGTTATGAAAATAATGTCAAGGCAGAATTGATCTGTCTGTGATCAGGTATGCAATTAACTATGAAAATGATATTAAAACAGAATTGACCTGTATGTGACCAGGTATGCAATGAATTGCGCGACTGACTCAACTTTCCTCGTTGTCGATAATTATGTCGTTCCATCAGTCCATCAGATGATTCCGATATTGGCTGCATCGTATCTGAAAGAATCGAATGAATTTATTTTTAATAGCTAAGCTTTTTAAGTAAGCTTTTTAAGCATAAGTAAGGTTTTTCTTCGAAAAACTTTCCAAAATTTTATTAATATTTTTCAAAATTCAAAGAAAATACTTTCATCGAAATTTTTTTTTAAATGGAATTTGAAAAGTTTGAAATTTAAGTTAAATAAGAATCTAAGAATCAAAATTTTGCTCGTCTTTTCATTATTTCTGTTAACAAACAATTGTAAGAGAAGATTTGATTATCAATAGTATTATTCAATACCAAACTATTTTCAAAATTTTTGAAATGTAAATTTTTGCTAAACATTCCAAAAAAAGAAAAAAATCATTTTTTATTTAAATTTCACTTTTTCTTTTTAAATTTCATTTGCAAATTTTTTTTTGAGCAATTATTTCAAAGAATGAATGATATAAAAAGTTGTAAGGGAATTTTTAAACTTCTTTTATCGTTAGTATAGAATTTAAATGTAACAAAATGGAAAATCCCAAAGGGAATAAATTTGGAAATGAAAAACGATTATAAAGACGACAGCAAATTTCTGTTATTCCTTTTTCGTTTCCTATTTTTTCAACTTCTAAAACTTGTTTCCTTTTCGTTTTTTTCTTCTTCATTAGTGATAGTATTATGCAAAATTTTTTAAACAAAAAAAAAACAAAAAATAAAACAAAACATTGTATTACGATAGATATTTCATTAACATGACAAGTAAACATTTGTCATTTGTCCAGTAAGTTTACTCAAAAAAAAGGAATAATTCAAAAAATAGTTTAAAGAATTAATTAAACAAAAAAAAAAATAATATATATATAACCATTTGATGATAATTAATTAGTGCTGATTGCTAGAAGGATTTCCAAACTAAGTGTATTTATTAAATGCTACAAATGAATTTATCAATTGAAATTTACTTCAAATCTTGCCTACGCTTTTCAAATATTATCTTTTGAAATTAGCTAAAAGAAAAAAAACAAAACTTAGGAAGGAATTTTAATTGCTCCCAAGAGTCATCACGAATAAATAATTCATGGGATTGTAACTACTAAATTATATCATAATACTCAGATATGACATCACTTGGATGTGATAATATTCAGATATGACATCATTTGGATATGATAATACCAGATATGATATCATTCTCAGCTTTATGCATTTTAGCAAAATCATTTCAAAATTTATGAAAGGATAGGAAAAAAAAAAGCGCCCATTTCATTTATGACAGGCGCATATGTCTGTGTATGTGTGTGTGTGTTAATGTATTTCTCTATCGGTAATAAATCTATTTCTTTGAAAGAAAAGCAAAAAATAATATTTAGTTTAAAAAAAAAGAAAGGAATGACAAAGGAATGGATTTTGATTTTAACCTCAATTTCCTCCATTTATAATCTATGCGATTGATAAAAAGGAGCAAAAATTGAGAAGAGGAACAATTTCCGCCAGTTTTTTACTTTTTTTTTCCCATTCATTCCAATATCTCTCAAATATTTCATATTATAGTGGAAAAGTAAAAGAATGATAATGATAAAAATCAGTTGGATGCTTTTTTTTTCGAAGATGATAAAATGTCTTCCACCTCTTTTATCAATTCATTGAATTTAAAAAGTTCAAAAACGTGGCATTGTGAAGGTATATTGCTAATAAACTGGATTAACTATCTGTAAATAAATATATATATATATATATATCCATTTATAAATGGTCTCGAATAGTTATTTCATTAATAACATATCCCTTTGTGCTTTGCATTCATCATAGACGGTAATATATTCCTTTGCATTTCAAATCCATCGCAAAAGGTAGTATACCCGTTTGCGCTTTAGATTTTTCATAGTGGATATTACTTGTAAGATAAGTTAAAATGAAAATGTTCGAATAAAATTACAAATATTAAAATTCAACAATCCAAATTAGTCGTCATGTTTTATAACAAAATAAAAAAAAAAATTAAGTTTATATTTGTTTACATCATAACATTTAATGACCTTCGAATGATAGCTATCTAATAATAGCTATTTGGTTTGTCTCGTCTCAGTTACATATATATATATATATATATATATTTCGAAATATGTTCCAATTTCTGTCTCAATTTCAAATTTAATTTAATGTATTCCAATTTCTATTTCAATTTTCAATTATTGATTTAGAAGCGTAAACTTTCGACCCATTCAAGTTGACTTACTTCGAAATGCTGTTCTTATCAGATGTTGAAGATGATTAAGGCTTGTTGATTTTGCCTTTGGTAACAATCAAATGATAACGAAATCTGTTATCATTTGTTAAAAAAATTTGAAAACTTTACAGGTTGTTTGATTTTTTTAAAGTAGAGAAATCAATTGATAAGAATTTTTAAAGAATTTATGCGACAAAATTGAAATTTAATAAATAAAATGAGATCGTTGAAATGTTTTTTCGAAATTCATGAAAATATGTGAATAAGAGTTTCTGAAATTACTGTCCGAAAAGATTATCAACTAAATAAACGCTTTTGTGATAATTTTAATTATATATTAAAATGTCAAACTGAAACATATCGAGAAGTTCCCAAATAATAACCAAACAAATTCAACGATTGTCAAACAGAATTTATGCAGTTCATAAGTAATATTTTGATTCATCAACGAAACCAATTAAAAAGGTCACTCATGCAAAAGGTCATATTATGTAGTTGAGATCGAGTCATAGTCTTAGTTAATCGAAATTTTTTTGGACAAAATTTCTCACATTCATATTTCAATTACTAAATTTTATCAAATTTGAAAAGATAAATTGCAATTGTACTTTTCTTCTCTATCAATTAACTAACCTGCTGATAACGACTTCTTCTTATGCATTACTTTCGGTGTTAAAAAGACAACAGGATTTTTCAATCCCAATATCGGTATTTCAGATATTTCATCATCCGTTTGTAACGGAAATTCTTTCCTGAAATCATAGTGCTTCAAAAATTCCGAAATACTGGATGATATCAAAACAAGAAAAAAAGAGCTACATAATCCTTCTGTTTATCATTACAATTTTCATAAATACAAACATTTTTCTTTGTTGAAAACCAATTACAGCACGATTATCCATCGGAATATCATTTTTTCTATCGAATATATTGCATGAAATTCGAATTCGTTGTACATCTAAACGAAAAAAAGAAAAAAAAACATAAAAACCGGAAAGTGAATCCGTAAATCCGTAAAAATTTACTTTATCGTGATATTCTTAGTTGTTTGCAAATTTATTAGAACTACCTGGTAAAAGTCTAAAACATGCGTAATACTACCATTTCAATACATTTTTCTTCCATCGGTCTTTGTCTATTTGTTTTTTATCAGTCTTTTTTTTTCTTTATCAATTCTTTCAACAATATCATATTATTATCTATTATCAATATCAAAAAAAAAAAATATTGAAATAAAAACCAATTCTGTTATTAGAGAAATGAAATTTGTTAAATATAATAAGAAAATAAAAATACGCCAATTTTAGATTGTTTTGTTTTGGAAAGCTTTTTTTGTGTTTATTTTTTTTTCACGTGAAAATGATAATATAAATATTTTAGTGATAAGATCATACCACTGCAATCCAACGTATAACTACGTTTCGTAAATTCAGGAATAATTTCAACAATATCATCATCTATACGTGAAGTCATACATAATGTAGAATTATTAGCCGTGAAATGTGATGGAATAGTTTCAGTACTAATCGATGATACGGTAGAATTAGATAATGGAACATTTGGTAATGATCGATGAGAAGAGGAGCAGGTTATCATCCATTTTGAGTTATCGTGTTTTGCGTCATCTATGAAAAATATGAAATGTTATTTGATATCGTAATTATAATGATTAGAAACCAAAAAGAAATCGGAACAAAATCATTTTTTTTTAATTTCAAAAATTAATCAGAACAAACTTTTTAGTATAATTTCGTTTTTTCGTTTTCTTTTCTTATTTTCTTTTGAATATAAAACATAACAAATATTTTAAAATTAGAAAAAGGATAAAAGTAAAAATAGTAAAAAACTATAAATTTAAAAATTTAGCCTGAAATTAAGAAATGAAAATATCAGGTTTCTCTTCTTAATTGTTTTATTCAAAAACAAATGAAAATATTACAATATTTAAAAATGACAATTATTAAAAAGTTACAAAAAGAAATACAAAAACAAAAAATGTTTGGGAAAAAAACAAACTTTCTTTTTTTTTCTTCTCATATATTTTATGATACTTTTGGGAATTTTTGCATCATATTGATATTTGCAATTATTTCAATTTTCTTCATATTTCCTTTTCCTAACAAACAAATTTATTGCTTCTACTCTGTCTGATATAAATTTTCGATATATTTCAAACGTTTTATTAAATATTTTAATTAATAAATGAGACAATTTGAGGTCAACTCAATTTCTTACACTTACTATATCATTCGTTTTTTTTTCTAATAGATATAATTAAGATTTTAAAATATATTTGTAAATGTTTGAAATTTGGACAAAAAAAAAAAAGCGTAAAGTAAAGCTTACCTATTGCGGTTGTATTTGTCATCGGAAAATGGGAATATGTTGAAAATGATGGAAGCAATGTGATCTGTCCCATTTCATTATGTTTTTGATGTTCCGATAAATTGTTAGATGGTGAATTTCTTCTTGTATTTTTTGCATTTCGATTACCCATTCAAATTTTTTCGTACATTTATCAATGTTTAGATTTCGAAAAAAAGAACAGATTAAACACAATTGCAATAGTATTTTTGTTTTTTTAAATTTTTTTTCGTTGTCGTCTAAAATTGTACAAATGTAAAATTATAT